GGAAGTAACAGCTGCTGAGAGAAGGATAGTCTTCCCCAGGGTTGGTGCCCCTAAATGGTTATCCAGCACCAAGTTGTCAGTCTTAAAAACACATGAATAAAAGTAATGCCAAGTGGACTATTCCATCTCTGATCCATGATTGATTGTTGATAGATCCAGATTTGTTTAGGCTCATTGTAGGCAGCTGTATATGCTATGAGATCATGACAACATTGGGTGGCTCAGAAAGAGAGAATGTCACCGTCCTGCTCAGAATCTTTCAGTATTTATATTTTTTCTTTCCCACTTCTGCAAAGATATCTAAGGTTTAGAGGGCATAGTATAAATGTGCTGTTTATCTGAACAGTCAACTGTAGCTAGAGTTTTCCCGCTTGGCCTACAGTCAGGACAAATCTCTGTCATCTGCCAGTCCCACAGCTGCTCAGACCCAACCAAGCAAACACAGAGAGTTATATTGCTTACAAACTGTATGGCCATGGAAGGCTTCTTGCTAACTGTTCTTATAGCTTAAATTAATTCATTTCTATAAATCTATACCTTGCCATGTGGCTCATGGCTTACTGGCATCTTCACATGCTGCTTGTTATGGTGACGGCTGACAGTGCCTTCCTCTGCCTTCCTGTTCTCTCAATTCTCCTCTCTGTTAGTCCCGCCTATACTTCCTGCCTGGCTACTGGCCAATCAGTGTTTTATTTATTGACCAATCAGAGCAACATACAGACCATCCCACAGCAGTCAACTGTCACTTATTATTCTCAGGACTATTAGAAGCTGTGTGTCTATGTAGTCACCACCATTAATATAAAAAAGAAACTTCTCTTATTAAGGGTGGGATTAGTATTGGACTGTAAGTATGTCAGTAAATATTTAGAAAAAAGGGTACACTTGCCATTTTTGACAAAATATTGATTCATAAAATTCCTTAGAAAACAAGGATAGAAATACCTGAGTTAAATCTAGGGTTATTTGACCTTTAAAGATCATAAAGATTAGTTAATTATATGCTTGTCCAATTGATAGATGATAGAAAGGACCTTTGTGTGTTTGTGTGTGTGAGGTCATGTATGTACACTCATGTGTTTCATATCTTAGATACTGGAGGATCATACTTGGAGAAAGTGTGTTGTGTGTCCTTGTTCATCTGTGATGTTCTTTATGGAGCTTATGTGGAAGGAACTTAACTTCAAGGTCTCAGTCTGGAAAGAGACTCAGGTTGCTATGACTCTGGTGCCAGTGCTGCCAGAATTAGTAATCCCTATTTTAAAAATCATTTTATCAGTATATATCAAAAAGAGTAAAGTTTTTATCATGATATTTTAATATAGGCACATAGAGCATATTAACCCTCACATATACGTTCAGCATCTGGGAAAAACATGACACTTGTCTTTTGGATATTTGCTTCATTATCTTAAAATGATGTCTTTAAAATAATAATTTTTTAATTCTTTGATAGTTTCAGACTGTATACTTTTATATTAATCCCCTCATCCACCAACTCCTCTATCAAACCTCTCCACTGTCCCCTCACTGCCAACCCAACTTGTAGTTTTCCTTTCCCTGTCTATCAATTTCTGATTGTGGTTTTCAAGGAATCTTGCCAGGATGACCTACTCTAGAGTATGGTCAACCTACCAGGCATCACCTGATTAAAGAAAATTAGCTCTCTCCCAGTAGCTATCAAATGTAAATAGCTCATCAGCTAATAATGAGATATCATGGTTATCTTCATCTCTCCATGCTGATTTTTTTGTCTGGCTTGAGCTTGCACAGATTTTGTTTATGCTGCCCCCAGTTGCTGTGGTTCATACGTAGAACTGTAATACCATGTTTTAGAAACACTGCTTCTTTGATGTTATCCACAACCTCTGATTCTTACAATCCTCCTACTCAATCCAACAATGTGGAAAATACTGAGGACTCACAAGACTGCTATTTTCTGTACGTTGATCAGTTGAGGAGCCCTGTGTTAATTACCATATTGCGAGAAGCAAGTTCTCTGATGAGGAACAAGTGATACACTGATCTATGGGTATAGCAATAAGCCACGTGGAATCATTCTGATGTTATGTCCATTTAGCAGAACAATAATATTGTATTCTCCCCTAGGGCCTATAGCCTCCTCAGCTACAGTTTTTTTGGTTGTATTAACAGTAACAAAACCTTCTTGGTACCAGTTCCTTCTCATTGAGCAAGTCTTTAGATATAATCAGAACGTAGTTGGTTACTCCTATAACATTCATGGCACTATAGTACCTGTGGATATGTTTTGTCAGGCCAGTCATTTTAACTGATAGGTTTCACATATGGGTGAGACTGATGATTGTTTTCATCCTCTGGCAGCATACATATGAAATTCCAGAGTCATGAAAACTATCTACTAGGGACAAAGCTTCCAGATGAGTGTCTGTTTTATCTCTCAGAGTTATTCCATGACTCAAACATGTGGTATCTTTAGTGACAGACAGAGGGTCAAACAATGGAGTTCTGGAAAGTAACCAAGAGTATTGTCAATAGCCTACAATGTTTGGTGGTCAAATGGGGTGGACCCCATTGACCAACAATTCAAAAGAGGTGATTGTTTCCTGGTACTGAGATTTTTATTTACTAGCATAAGGTGACAAGTTACAGTATTTATGACCCCATTGTGAGGTAACTCTATTAAAACTCTTTTTACATATGTATATCTATAAATTTTAGGAAGTGTTCATAGCAGTAGGTATCCAAATGGCTTTATCAACTGGCCTTTAGTGTTAGTTATCCCTCTCTCTATTTCCTCCTTTATCCTGACTTCCCATTCCAATTTAACACTTCATATTCCATCATTCCTCTTTAATCATTTGTTATCTAGAACAAGAGACTCAAGAGTAGCCCAAATGATGCTATGTGACATTACAATCCCAGCTTCCCAGATAATTTTCTAATTTTGGTTATCAGAAATCAGACATTTCCCTCCTATGATGCTCTAGATGTGATTGAGAATATGGAGAGCAGTAAGTGACCTACTGAATAAATTCCATTGACTTTGTCCTGTGGTATGTACACTAACCTGTGTGAGCCATCCACCAGTGGGCTCACCTAGCCTCAGGTACTGAACAGATGACTCTTTCCCTGGAGGAACATGGACAGTGGCAGTCTCAACTAAACCCTTCCTTACTGTCAAAGGCATTGACAGTCACAGGAAGCTGACATGCTTCACTGAGGTTGATTCAGTACCTGTGTGCTTCTCAGGGCAGAGCTGGGACAAGTTAATGGCTTTGTTTCATCTTCCTCATTCTATTCTTCCATGTCTAATTATAAAGTGATATTATTTTTTACATTTCCTTTTACATTTTTAAGTTAAAAATTCAATTACATTGATTTTTGGAAGACTTCTTAATCACTTCATCAAGACGAGAAAGCTCTATCAACAGCATTTTAAACATGTAATGTACTATTTCCAGTTAGTCTTCTTAGAATACCAAAGGAATGAGACAAGACAAGGCTCACAAACACGTTGATTGCATATAGTGTTCTTGAGAAATAGTCATCAAATTCCACAATTAAGAGACAGACCAGGTGTTGGTCTTTTGAGAGTAAATAAGTCTATGTGCTACAAAATGATAAGCAGCTGAGGTAGATGGTTTTTAGATCCAGCAAAGATGATGGAGATAGTGTCTAAAACCAAGAAAGATAATTTTTGACAACCGGTTAGAAAACCCCCAGTTTCTCCAGCTACAATGCACTCAGAGGCCATTCCTTCTTTCTCATGTTCAGTATGAGAAAGAATGAAAGGCCTCTGAGTCACTGCCCTCAACCTGGTGACTATGTCCAAGAATAGGATATTTCCTATTTTGGAGAGTCCTGGTTAAGCCAGTTATACATGGATTTGCATTTTGGTTAGGAAATTGTTGGACCAGAGCACCATCAAGTGGCTCCACATCCTGCTGGGTGAGGCAGCCAGTCCTATAAAAAAGTGCTTGGATGAATGACTGCAACCCACTTGGTACTCAAGCCCCAGACGACAGAGAACCTGGTAAGTCTGACTTCAGAATTGATCTTTGTTTATGGTCTTCTTATGTAGTTTAATTTAGAGAGAACAGTTCAATTATTGTAAATTGTGATCATGGGTTAAATGTTAGTTAGTTTGCTTTTGCCTTTTGTGTGTAGGTGGTTGATACCCATTGGAAAATTAAGACAATAGGGAAGGATTGCTTTGAAGATGGTGGCGGAACAGAGCACGTTTTATTTTCTTACATTTTGATGTCCTTTTCAAAGACTTAGCTAGAGTTTTTCTCTTTGGGTCCTGCCAATCCCCGGCAGTCCCGTAGCACACTTATAAAATAAACAAACACTTATATTATTTAAACTGCTTGGCCATTAGCTCAGGCCTACCATTGTCTAACTCTTACTCTTATACTCAGTCCATTTCTGTTAATCTATATGTCGCCACATGTTCCGTGGCTTTACCTGCTGCCTTTACATGTTGCTCCCTGGACAGTAGGCTGGAGTCTCCTCCTCTCTGCCTTCCTGTTCTCTCAGTTCTCCTCTCTGCTAGTCCTGCCTATACTTTCTGCCTGGCTACTGGCCAATCAGTGTTTTATTTATCAATCAATCAATCATCCACAGCAGACTTATGTCTTAGCAGGCATTAGACCCTTAAATTTCACTAGGTGTCTTCTGATGTGAAACTCATCTTCTGGGATTTCACAAGTGCTGATGTGATAAGGATTTGTTTTGAGAGTACTTAGTCTTGAATGTGTTATTTTGTGCAAGCAACACTAGGTTCTTTGGAACAGAGATGTTTCTTGGCATGGGGAATGCAACCAAAGAAGGACCTGCAAAGTTAAATGAAACAAATCACTAAATTGGAAGGGAAAATCCAGAAAGTCCTAGAAGATGAATAGTTGGGGAGTACTGTGTGTATATGAGAGAATTACCATCCAATATTCTATAAACTTCCACTTCCTCTATGAGAATTACCTCTTGTGAGAACTGTCATGTAATATCTTTCAGATCCTGAGACTTCAGCACAATGTCTTACCAACAACAACAGTGCAAGCAGCCCTGCCAGCCACCTCCTGTGTGCCCAGAGCCTTGTTCTCCCCCAAAGTGCCCAGAGCCTTGTCCTCCCCCAAAGTGCCCAGAGCCTTGTCCTCCTCCACAATACCCAGAACCTTGTCCTCCTCCAAAGTGCCCAGAGCCTTGTCCTCCTCCAAAGTGCCCAGAGCCTTGTCCTCCTCCAAAGTGCCCTGAGCCCTGCCCCCCTCAGCCATGCCAGCAGAAATGTCCTCCTGTGCAACCTCCTCCAGCCTGCCAGCAGAAGTGCCCACCCAAGAGCAAGTGACTGCTTTCGCTGTCACCAGGACCAAGAGCAGAGAAAGGAATCCATCTCACCTATTTCCATAGCAACAACTCTATCTTCCCTTCAAAGCCTGTCCTGTATGCAGAAGAATCTTCTCCATTCTTCACTCCCCATATGCCAATGATGATCTCTGATAGGAAAGGCATTTTCATGAGACTACTCTACTATTGTCAAGGGGTTGCTGAGAATGGTCCTTCCTCTGTGGTCTAGTATCCCAGATACACAGAGGGTAGGGCAGCAGGTGTTATCCCAGTGCCCTCAGAGGAGCCTTCCTCTGCCTTTCACCTGGGCAGAAACTTATACAACTTAGACAATTGTCATTGCTGTTTCATTTTCTGAATAAAGAACAATTTTGGTGATGAAATAGAAATATTTCTTTGGAAAATTGCCTTATGAGTAGCATCATTTTTCTCTGTTTTGATTCTGAATTATTTACATTTGTTTCTGTATATAAATAACTCACAAGAAGCTACTTAAGGAATGAGGAGTTTATTTTTGCCTACAGTTTGAGAGGGTGCAGTCATGGTGGTGAAGGCATGGTGGCAGGTGACTGTGTAGACAAATTTCTAAACAGTCTTATTAAATAAGGAACACTGAGCCAAATATAGGAGTGAAAGCCACAGAGATCAGGGAAATAGTGAGAGCCACCAGCTGACCTTAGCTCACCATGCCACTGTAGCTTCCCAAAAGAGAGAGCTACTTCCTGTCTAACCAGGCTTTTATTGCCTTGCTGTTCTGCCTTCTCATTGGCTCTTAGCCCAGCTACCTCACTTCCTTGTCACTGCCTATCTTTACAGACCTCCAGGTCTCTGTGGTTGGTACTGGGATTAAAGGTATGTGTCACCACGCTTGGTTGTTCCCTAGTATGTCCTTAAACACACAGGGACTCTGCTTGCCATGTGATTGGATTAAGGGCACTGCCTAACTTTTGTTTATGGGTGGCTAAGTCCTCTGATCTCCAGGCAAACTTTATTTATTAACATACAAATAAAATATCACCACATTTCCCCCTTTTTCTAATAAAAATAAAAAAAATAAAGTTATAACTAGTATAAGAAAAATTACGCCGGGCGTTGGTGGCGCACGCCTTTAATCCCAGCACTCG